GGGGGGGAGGGAGGAGAGAGAGAGAGAAAGCGGTGGACCAGGGGGCAGGGCCTTGACAGTCCAGTTTTACCAGCAATTAGAAACATGGCATCCCTACTACTCCTGCTGCCATCAAACCTATACAACTTTTAAACACTCTCAATACTTCCAACTCCTAAGGGAATTGCCTCAGCTCCTGTTATAATTGCTCATACTGAAACCTTCTCATTCTCTGCAAGGTCTATGACGGGGAAAAGGGACAGATAGGTGGTGTGCAAGAAGGAAACTGTTTTAAAAGGAAGAAGGCTGGAAGCAGCAAGAGGGAGCACAAAAAGGGCAGAGGAGAAATTTAAATTAAAAAAGGAAAATTAAGAAAAAATTGTGGAACTAATGACACATAAAAAGCAACACGATTTAGTTGAAATATGGTACGTTGTCATTCCTTTATCCTATCCTGTGTCCGTTTTGTCTATTTAGATTGTAAGCTCTTAAGGACAGGGAACTACCTTTATTCTATATCCGAGAGGGTCCTAACACACTTTTGGATGCCTGACAAATAATATACTAACAAACACGTTTTTGCTTCCCTCCATACCACAGAGTTAATCATGCACAGTATCTGCATGCCTGCACACAGGAAAGAGGACAGAGTGAGACAAGTAGACTGTTTTATTTTCTGTAAAGTTGCTTTCTGCTAAAAACCAGGAACAGTGCCTTATATGCTTACGCAGGGAATTCTTATGCTTTTCAAACATTTTTCAAACAACGTAACAACAAAATGTTAAACTATTAAGAGTACTAAAGTAGCGCCCTGCTTATAGCACCTAAAGATTTATGGATATTATAGAGCAAAATAAATAATGGTCCCCCATGCATCAGTGATCGCCAGTTAACCTCAGCTAATTCTTGTCAAAATGTACTTAAAAAAAAAACACCACAACAACAACAACAAAAGACAACTTATTTTGGCAGTTTATAGGAACTGGTTTTTTTTGTAACATTAAAAAAACAACCAAACACACACACAAACACACACCGCACTGCAACTATATAAATACCAACTACATCTGAGCATTTTTACATATAAGAATAAGAAAAATCATGAAGAATTGTTAAAATTTATGTTGGAACGAACTTCTGCTGCTGCTTCATCTAGAATTCCAAAAATACTACAATATTCAAAATTTTAATAATAAAAAAAGTAATATGCAAGGTTTGTTCAATTTTATGGTCAAGGTCTGGAGTTTGGCATTTTAAATTGGATTGCTGGGCAACTATTGTTTTGAACGAATTAAACTACAAAAAATTAAGGTTTCAGGCAAGACCCTGTGTATATTTAGGCAATGTAGATCTGCACATGAATATAAAATTGTCTTTTTTAAAAATTGCTATATAACTATGCTTGTAATCTAAGCTTTCATTTAAGAATAATTACATTTTTAGCCTTTATGGTTGTGAAGAAAAACTTCAGAATCTTAAGTGAAAGTAAGTCAACGCAGTTTTGTCTGCCTGAGTTGACAGATAACCTGTAACAGTAAATCCAGGGAACATATGAATGGCCCACATTCATCTGAGTCAGGGTGTTGTTATTTCTATAATACCCAGAGAACTGTGCTAGCCACTTTACAATCATTTAAGAAGGAAGTTATGAGGCCCAAAGAGCTCACAGTTTAAGCAGAAGAAAAACTGATCGTGAAGGGAGGCAACAAACAAGCAAAATGACTGAGGTAATGTTTATGCAGCGCAGTTGTAGCCATGTTGGTCCCAGGATATTAGAGAGACAAGATGGGGACAAGCTCTTCTTCAGGTCTGGAAAAGATACTCCCAGCATCATGGCAAAACAAGTAGTTAGCACATACTGTGAGGGACTAACACCTCTGCAGTCATAGGACAAAAAGAAGAACAGGAGTACTTGTGGCACCTTAGAGACTAATAAATTTGTTAGTCTCTAAGGTGC